TGTGTGTGTGCGTGCGTGCGTGCATGCTGAGGACAGGTGTATGTATTTTTTTAAAGGACATAAATAATTCAGTTACATCATTTTACAATGTCCTTTAAATAATGACCAAAACGACCGTGTCTTTTAATAAGGTGAACGTCCTCTACTTCCCTAATTGCCACAGATGTCCTAGTCTGCAAAATCTCAAATTCGTCTGTGCCTTTTTAAAGCTCAAGTGACCCGAACTGGACACACTAAATGTGGTGGAACTAATGCTTTAGCTGTACATATAACAAAGATCATTATTCAAAGAAACAGTTCCCTAATAAAGGTATTTTTGATACCGTTCATAACATTGAACCTAGTGTTACTTCCTCACGAAAAACCGTATCTACTCCAAGAGCACCTGTTTTACCTACCACCCAACGATTGGAGGGTAAGCCAACAAAGGCAGTATAATTACATCTTTTTGATGGTTTTCTCTTTTTTCCTCTATTTATTGCCCCCTTTACTGAGATTTCCCCACATGCAGATTCTGTTCTATATTAAAAATCCCTCTGCCCCCTTCTCCTAAGCATACCCACACTATGGATGTGAACAGTCCTTCTTCCCATGACATCTTAGTGGTACAGGGAGGGAAATAAAGATATTTAATAAATAATTCACAGCACACAGATTGAACCTTTATTCCCAAGATCTTCTGCGGGAAATGATGACATACATTGGTTAAAACTAGCCTGTATTGTGGCGGTCAAGGCTCATATGCTCTTTTAGCATACCGTTTGCTTAGTCTTATTCCTGTGGGTCTAAACACCTTCCTATCTATTAATGGCCTTATGCGTCTCCAACTTCAGTGTAGTTTTTGCCATGCTGATCTGTGTAACAGGAACCGTATTCTATCTAGCCACTGCCATCTCCTCCCTTCAAGGATCCACTGCTTTGGCAACTCTGCTCCTGAGCTGGCTTAGCCTACTGCCCACCTGTCAGTTCTCAATCTCCACTCCATCTTCTTTGCCTCATGGGACCAAATGAATGTTAAATGGAGGTTGCCTTCCTTCCAACTTGGAAGCAATTGTATTATTGGATAGGTACAGAAGGGGTTGAATGATTTAAGAAACATCTCCAATTAATGAAACCATGTCAGAAAATTCCAAGATCGTCTAGATCGTGTTTTCTTTTCTACAGAGATCAATATTTATTTAATTAGCCAAAAGAATGGAGGAGGCTAAAGAAGAGAAAAGAATTTAATTTGCGTGACATGGCTTGCCTTGCACGAATTCATGCTGACTTGCACTTAACTAAAGTGCTTTTTATTTCACCTGACTCCCTCTTTCAGCCACTGTAATCTTGAAGTGTATACGTGCATGTGCATGCAATAGGATCTAGAGCCCTCCTTTCTCTTTTATACTACGCAGAAGGATTTTGCAAAAATTTCAACATTTCTGAGGCTAATTTGGGTCATCCTAAATTCAGTGACTTTTATATGCAGTCATTTATACTGTAGCTACATCCACAAACACAATGTATTGGATAGGGTGCAAATGCAATGGATAAACACAGAGGTACATGTTCAGGAAGCAAATCCCTAAGGCTTACTTCATCAGGTGGTAGAACTTGAGTAGGCTATTGAATAACACCAGTTCAGGATTTAACATGGATGAATTTCCTTAGCCTCTCCCTTCCTTCTGTCCCATAACCATTGAAAATTCCTGCTTACCAAATGAAAGGCACTCAGTTTAAAAGTTCAGCAGGATTGTGCCACTTTAAATTACAGATGGGAGAATTACAGTTCTGAAGTTCCTTTAAGTTCCTTCATTTAAATTTAAAGGGGGGGAAAGCCCCGCACATAGAAATCAGTTTTCTAGCTGACATCATGTTCGACCTGACATGCTCTTTTTCCTCCATCAATAGAGAGAGAGCTTAAATGGCAAACATCTGTATAAATACACTGCATTTAGTTACTCAAATACAGTACTCAAAAACTGAGTTTTTAATACAATCAAAATCAGCCCAGTAAAATGGTTTTTAAAAACAAACTCAATGTAAGTGATAACAGCAAAATCATTAAAAATCCAATAAAACTGAGTATGATATTGAAAAAGCAACAGTGTCACAGACACATCAACTAAAAGTCTCAGAGAATGAAAAGGCATTGCTAGCATCTTTAGCACAACTTCCAGTGAAGGGAGGAGGGAGCAATTACTTTAGAAAAGAGGTAATTACTGATATGCAAGTGCAGAATGACCAATATGTCCCAGTGGGCAAGGGAATGGGGTTTGAATGAGGCCCCTAGATCCTACTGTTGTCCTTTGTGGACAATGCATGCAGCTGGTAAAGGTTCCCCTTGACATTTAGTCCAGATGTGTCCGATTCTAGGGCGCAGTGCTCATCCCATTTCCAAGCCACAGAGCCAGTGTTTGTCCAAAGAGAGTTTCTGTGGCCAGCGTGACTAGACACGGAACGCCATTACCTTCCCACCGAGGTGGTACCTATTTATCTACTTGCATTTTGCATGCTTTTGAACTGCTAGATTGGCAGGAGCTAGATTGGCAGGAGCTGGGACAAACGATGGGAGCTCACTCTGTCACATGGATTCGATTTTACGACTGCTGGTCTTCTGACCTTGCAGCACAGATGCTTCTGCGGCTTAACCTGCAGTGCCACCACATCCCTATATGCAGCTGATACATGTGATCAAAAAGTGTGTAATGTCTGGATAGATGTATCTCATTTGCACCCATCTACTTACTGGCATTTGGCAGAATTTTCATTTGGAATTTACAGCTATAGGTCAGATAAGTTGCAAATGAAGAATTTAGCAAAGAGACATCAAAACAAAGAAACAAACAAGCACATTTGATATGTTGAAGGGTTGCTGCTGAATACCAAACCCTATTTTTCAGCTGTGAAAGGTACAATATTTTTAAATTGCTTCTGTACAGGGGAATTCATTTGGAAATCCTCAGAAATACATTGGCAAATGCATATATCCTCCTCTTACACCACTGTCCCTCCACGCACATAAATCTTACACTGCTATGCATCTGAGACACAAAGATGTGCAAACGAATCCATGGTATCTCCCAACAATCAGTCTTTTCTGCTTAAGGGACCTGTTCTTCTAACAAAATATTTATCCATTTAGTTTGGCCTTGTACAATGCTATGTTGAAGAGTTACTTTCAAAAGTGGATCAAAATTGGGAGTGGCCCCCACTGCATCACACTCTAATTTCTGCACCTGTTCCAATTGTTAAAGTTGTGATCAGTAATCTTTACTCTCTGCAAGTTAATTAATTGGTTTTAAGGGGTATTTTTCCTTGTGTATAGGTTACTTTGTTGATTATAGTTGCTGGGTGCTTTGTTATGTGTTAATTACTACTGGGATACCGGTTAACTTGTCAGGTTCACTTCTTGATAACAGAAATACCAGGCTTCTATTGAAAAAGGTTGCCAAGACAACTAATACTCAGTGAAGATGGCAGCTTTTTTGTGGGGGGGGGGGGGCGGAATAGACCGACTGAACAAGCAAGGCATGTGGTTACATAAAGCTGATGTTCCATGTGGCCTTTAAATAGTTAGAAATAAACTATCTCTTCTATCTCTTTTTGTCTTTTTTTCACATACATATATTAGATGCATGTAGGAAGCTCTAATTTGATGCTGCAAAAGATTTGAATGGTGGATGACAAAGGATGGAAAACAATCAGAGACCATGTACAGAATGAATTATAGAAGAAAACAACAGTGTGTGTGTAAAAATGCATGCAAATGTTAAGAGGGAGCACGGCCCAATGGTTCCAAACCTAAATACTGAAACTGCACTACAATACTGGGCTTATTTCCCCAAAGTCAGACATTTATAGATATGCCCCCATCCGTTTCAATTACCTTATGCTCGCAGCAAGAATGATGAGCAAAAGAGGCTCATCTACTATGGGGAAACCAGGTTTACCCAATCCCTGTACACTGAAACAGGCAGGCAGCTGAAAGATAGAAAATGGCCCAACTACATAGTCAGAAGAATCATGATGCCATTATTGCTGGATAGTACCACTACCACTTCAGACAGTAATCAGTGAAAAGCTGCATGGATTCTTAAAAACCAACCAACCCAAAAACCTTCACATTGGGAAGAAGACTAGGTTGGGTAGTCCATGTGCGTCCGCTGATCACACAGCTCAACATATGTATATTCTGAAAACCCACCAAAGCAAATTGCAAGCAACAGAACCATTGGCATGCACTGCAAGTTTGTGAGTGCATGTCTGTGTGTAGACACATATATAACATAGACTGACTGACGGATGAAGCCTCTTACCTTGAATTCCATAGGTGTGTATTTCTCATTCTTGGGAGTTGTGTTGCCTTTGTAATGTAGGTGGTTGGGAGTAGTGGGGTGGATTACAGTTGACTCCTGAGACTGCCGTTGGCAGCGCTGGCAGTAAACGTAGATCACAAAGGTTAAGAGACTGGAACCGAAGAAACAGGAGACGCCTGTGGCAATGAGGTGGATAAGACTAAAACCTAGGGGAAAATAAAAAGAGCAAATCAAACCCCCTACTTCCAGCACCAACACATTATTCAAAAGGAAACATGCCATCAGCAGCTTCCACTATTGTCCTGTGATGTGCACAAAACACACAAGGCTTCACACAGTATCAGCATCATTCTGCCTACTGCTGAGAATGCATACTCTAGCATGGCCCTTTCTCTCCCATCTGCCCCACAATATCCATTTGGTGCATCCGCTCACTTTCATTTTGTCGATTTCCCAGTGATCAGTACTATGCAAGTGAGAGGACATATAAACGGTGCCTCTCTCTTCACTGGGTTCCAGAGGACAACTTGGTATCATCTCTTGTATTTCATGTGAGAATCCTTGCATAATAAACACGTCCTTGATGCTGAAGCCACACATAAATTATCACTACAAGAAAAGGATATTTGGACAGCTAAGGGATGAGTGACAGCACTGGAAAACCAAAGGGCAATTTTCTGCTTCCTTGTCACAAGGAAAATGCAATTTTGAAAGCAGACAGCGTCTTGCTTTGTAATGCCAACTGACATAAGCTTTCCTCCCCGACTATCAGTCTCCTCATCGTAGTTCTGCTTTAATGGGATCATATCTTGCTCTTTTAATCGCCTTTCTTTCTCCTTCTATTGATACTGAAACTAAAGTTGACAGCCAAAAAAATGAGACATACAAACAATACACGTGAATGGGTTTCAAAGAATGTGTATGTCATGGAAATAATGCAGGTAGAAAAAAAATCATATTTCTCTGAACCAAAATGGGTGGGGGAGGACAGGGACACCTTCATAAAATATTCAAGAAAGTAGTTGACAAAGTAAAGCAGAAATACAGTTAGCTCTGGCTTTGAGGCAGGCCATTGCAAAGTATGCTTTGGTGAGCTTCTTCCTCTCTTGGTGGGTTTCTCTGGCAGCCACAGAGGCTGGTGAATACAACACACTGAAGTCTAGCTGTCATTTAATTCCCCATAAATCAGTTACACTACATCAGAGAATTTGTGGGAAATTGAAATGGTGGCTAGATGCCCAGCACTCAAGAGTATCCAGATGACAAAAATTGAAGAGAAACCTGAAGAGGTGAGCCTTCCTTGAGAACTGGTACCATGGAAGTTACCAATGAATGCCAGGTGTTGTTATTAACTCTGGCCACCCCCACCCCCAAAAATTTTAAATGGCTTCCACTTCTGAGTTGCTCTTAAAGAGGGAAGAGCTCCTGTCCTTACCATTTGACAAGACAAAGAGCATGCATGGTACCAAGCAAGCTGCCTTCCTTATCTATGATGTTTCCAACACATGCTTGCTGGTAAAGACCTTGGACCCCTCTCTTTTCTGGTTAATGTTCAACTTCCACTTCCTATCACAGCACATCTCTGAAAAAGAATTCATGACTTCTCCTTTCTATGTGCACTTGCTTCTTACAAATCACAATTTAGTGAGTGGGAGTTGATAAGGATAAGAGAGAATGATGAGTTGATCTGTTGGTGAGCAGAAAAAGTAGAACCTCTGCAGGAAGCTGACACCAATGAGGCAATTACCAGGTGAATATTTCAAGTACATAGTCCTTGGAGTGAAAGTTCTAGGAGTCTAAAAGATGTTTCAACATAACTGAATAAAGGTACAGATTTCAAACAGTCCCTCCCACTCCAGTGGATTACCTAAGAAATACACATACACAATGCAAAAATACAACAGACAGTCAGAATTGCTTAAAAATTTATAGAAGGGAGGAATTTTCGAATCATAGAGCTAAAAGGTCACAAGGATTTATTTAGTTTAAGATATAGTTTCCTCATCCGTTTATTCGTAGAAACTGAAACCACTCTTACCCCCTATAACACATGCGTCAACCTCAAGGCCTGTGAGTCAAATCCGGCCTGCTGGGCCATTTCATGTGGCCCTCACAGTATTGCCTGCTACTGTATAGTATACAATACACAAGCGCTTACTCGGTCACCCATAATGCTCCACAAGGATGCTGGAAATCCGCCCAGCGGGACTTCTAATCCCAGCACTCCAAGCAGCGAGGAGTCAGAAAGTGAAAATTGAATGAGGAGGATTGTATTTAATATGAGAAAGAGTAGATACATTTATATAGTCTTACAGATACAACCGGCCCTTTGAGGGCAATCATAATGCCGATGCGGCCCAAGAAGATATTGAGTTTTATACCTCTGCCCTATAAGATCTCTTTGCTTTTCAGGTGTGCCTCCATGTTACTTTGTTAAGCATCTGGATAACACAGGTATTCTTTGCATGTACAAGCTATTGGTTTCCATGAGAAGACCCTTTGGTTGTTGCTTTTTAAAAAGCATTTTGCTATAGATGGTGTGTTGCCCTCAATCCCATTTATGATAGGCTGCAGGATAAATTTCTAATGATTACTTTTTTGCTCGCAACTGTGGGATGCTAAGAGACAAATAATATTAGTCATAGTGAATGTAGATTATAGCAATAAGAGTACAATGGAAGAAGAGATCAGTGAAAATATCAATACCCATGCATAATGATGAATATAAGGTTAATAAGGGAACCTTGGACTGAAGCAGGTGTTTGACAGGATGAATGAGGGGTGCAAAAAGCCAATCTTGCTGTTAATGGAACTTAAAAGAAAGTCACTCACCAAGAGCAAGTTAGATTGGAAGTTTTTGTTGATGTACTGTTTGTCTTTTCTGTCATGGCCATAACTCATTTTGTGTGTGTTGAGAGTGACTGATGAAGAGGTCAAGAGCTATCTGAGAGCCTTACCACAAAACTAGTTTATGTGGTGCTTTGGAGGAAAACAACAGGAACCCCTAGGCATTCCTTGATGACCCCAAAATCTGTTTGTACCAATTGTACTCACTGTAAACTGGCACTCATCACGTAAAGAAAAGCTAATACAGGTTTTTATGAGGGAAAAAACCATATTCTTTCTTAAATATGTCTGGTCTATAGTATTAATGTGTATAGTTCCCTACCAGTTTAACATTTCCTGGAACCATCTTAATTGTTGACAGCATGTTTAGTGTACAATATTCTACTTTCTAGAGAAAGTAGTTGGGTGAGAAGCTAAACATGTTCTGCTAGAGAGCCTCAGAGCCCTTTTCATAGACACTATTCAGTAGTAAGATTATATGTTTGTTAAATCAACTTTCAAATCTGTTGTGCAAATACACTCTCCAAGGAAGAAGCACAACTTTTTCACATGGAAATCATTGCAATATCGGAATATTTTTTGTATTGTTGTCAGATTCTGCCATACATTAAAGCTTCTACAGAAAAACACAATATGGGGAATATGTCTAAGGGCATCTTTACACTACAAACATATATTGGTTTTATACTCATGTATATGTCATGAGTATTGCAATTCAATGCTCCTGCTGAGAAACGTTTGTTAGCAATTCCAAGTCCACAGTTCCCAGAATTCCTCTGGGAAGAAAAATCAACTAGCAAACCAGGTTGCACATATTACACAAATATATTCCAACAATACATCAATATGTAAGAACTTTCAGACCTCCCAAATAAATGCCATTTGAAGTCAAACTGGCCAACGTTTTCTGCTATCTATCCAGAGTTATTTCATATATCAAAAACTGTAAACAACCATCACACAAAAAGCACTTTCCACACAGGTTAAATATTTTAGGGGAAAGATGCTAAATGAAAATAATCCAGGGCAGTGCAAATGTTATTGTGGCATTTTGTGGTCTATGGTTTACCTTAGAGAACTGATGAAGAGTCTGTGGTCCTCCAAAGCTTATGCCATTTTACTTTTAAAAAAATTCTAATGTGCTATAAGACTCTCCTGTTTTTGATGCAACAGACTACCTGGTTGTTCAACTGCAAATATTTATAGGTAGCTCCATTATAAAATACATGAAAAACCAATCTTCCCTCTGCCGCTTTCAAAAGTGTCCTGCTGCGACTTGTAAGGCAATATAACAACCGTTCTGCTTAAGGAAACTGCCTTCAAAGAAGCAAAATAAAACAAGTGGCAATTGTGATATAACCAAGTTCTTGCAGGAACTGCCTCATAAAGCTTTCCGCAGACAATTTGTATCAATATAGCTTTGGTGGAATAGGGTCCTTTAATGGAACTCGCTTAATACTGTATGTCCATTACATTCCTATTCTACCAGTCGCTCTCTGCGAAATCAGACTGCTAAATCTTGAACTATGTACATGTAAGCTTTTTAATCTGGACACCAATAGTTTTGCTATCTCCCCCTCCTTGATGGAAGCAACTGCTAAATAAAAGAAATACATAGCCAAGTCAAATAAGACCATTAAAATATTAGCAACATTCAAAAGTACTATATACGTGACAATGTTTACACAGGCAGCCTGACGCTGCCTATACAGCTTATATAGTACGTTGCAGCACTTCAAGCCTACCTCCTCAGTCTCTCCATTTTTCCCCTCACCACCTGTCTTTAAATGTGGGTGAGAGTTTTTATTATTATGATTATTGTATATAGATATGGTCATTTTCTTTCTTTCAGTGTTAAAAAGTCTCAGACAACTACTTACAGCAGTACAAGACTCTCCCATGCAGCCTCCCGACTGGCATTCTAGGAGGTGCGACTCGTTAAAAGGCCGAAATGGAGAGAATTTGCTTCTGTGGTTCCCCCCCCCAAGTCCTCCTAGAGGGGTTTTCCCAACTTCAAGTCACATCTCTGTCAGCTCTGTTTCAATTGCCTTCTCTTATATCAAGGTGGAGTGGGTGAAAGGCACAACAAGGACTCCTTTAGACGGGAAATGCTTCTTAAGAGGGTAATCTTTTGGACATTTATTTAAAAGGGCAAAACCACAGTAGAAGGAGAAGAAGGAAGAAACTCTGGGGGAAGGGAAATGCAAGTTGGATGTCTTCTGGGTACAGTCTTCATTTGAAGAGAAGAATAAAATTGCAGGATTTATTTATTTGTTTATT